TGATTTCTTAATAATTTTATTATTGAAGGTAAATAAGGTATATATATATATGAAACTAAATTTTAAACCGAGTGTATATATTTGCTTGCAACTCGAACACGGAAGGCTTATAATTTGTTATACATTGTTTTCACATATTTTTCTTTTACTACTCCAAATAATGAAAGGCTAACAATTTGTGATACATTGTTGTAACATAATTTCCTTTTACTACCTCAAATAATGAAAGGCTACACTTTGTGATACATTGTTGCAATACGTATTTAATCACCCCTCTGTCAAATCATTATCGGAAGGTGTGTTTTATATATACAGAATTTTTTTTAATCTAACCGATACTGAGATGGAAAAACAATATACAATATGTTATTTATCTTTAACTCCAAACTAAAATAGCTGAACACACACACAAAGAGAAAACTCGAAGAGCTGAAACTAAAATAGTTACTTATATCCTAACAAATCGAACTAAAGTTGTTCGTTTTTGTCTTACATTCAACAATTGTAGTATGATATAGACTTGATAGGTAAGATTTAGTTATTGAGTTTCTTGTCTAACAAAACACCTGTCATGCACTCAATTAACAAGTCTTTACTAGCTAGATCCTTCTTCTTTGTTTCTGGTCAGTTTCAACATCTGTAAAAAAGAATGCTTAAACATCACTAATATCAACCATAATCTGTTTGTCTGTTATAGGGAGTTTTGGTACTTTTAAAAGAAAAAAGGTTTAAAATGTTTGTAATCACTGAGATTCGCGAACTTTTTCAACGTTTGTCACTTTTACTCAGATGACTGTAATTTTCAGATTTAATTTTTTTTATCACTAACATTTATTGATGTCCTAATCCCTCCTGACTTGTAGAGCTTGACATTCCCTTTTCATTCACCTTTGAATTGAAATTTATAGCAATAAATCGGAGGTTATTGAAAACGCTTGCAAATGGATGTTGTTCATTTTCAATATTTAATCAACCTGCTTTACTCCAGGTGTATTATTACGTTCATCTTCCCAGAAGTACATTAACGTACTTTACACCACCTTAATTAGAGGTATATTATTATGTTAATCTTTCCAGAAACGCATTAACGTGCTCTACTCCAGCTTAATTACAGGTATATTATTATGTTCATCTTCCCAGAAGAATATTAACGTGCTCTACTCCAGCTTAATTAGAGGTGTATTATTACATTCATCTTCCCAGACACACTTTAGCGTGCTTTACTCCAGCTTAATTAGAGGTATATTATTATGTTAATCTTCCAAGAAACACATTAACGTGCTTTACTCCAGCTTAATTAGAGGTATATTATTATGCTCATCTTCCCAGAAACATATTAACGTGCTTTATTCCAGTTTAATTAGAGGTATATTATTATGTTAATCTTCCAGGAAACACATTAACGTGCTTTACTCCAGCTTAATTAGAGGTATATTATTATGTTAATCTTCCCAGAAACACATTAACGTGCTTTACTCCAGCTTAAATACAGGTATATTATTATGTTCATCTTCTCAGAAACATATTAACGTGCTTTATTCCAGCTTAATTACGAGTATATTATTATGTTCATCTTCCCAGAAACACAAGGAGGAAGTTCCACTCTTAACTTTAACCAAGTCACTGCTAAGGATTCTGCCTGGTATCATTGTACTGCTCAGAATCAAGCTGGCAGCTCATCTACACGTGGTCGACTACATGTCTCGAGTAAGTCATTCTAGACGTTTCAGTGTCTCCAGTTAAGTATATGGTTAATTCATTTTTTATATCACCCTCACCCTTTTCTATGTTAGTCGAATACCATATCAATTAATTTGTGTTATATTAAGACGTTCATAATTATTAATACAACCTATATATATTTTATCCACTGTTGTAAAATCCCTGTCAATATTTTCTATCAAATTCATACCTTACTAAAATCATATTTTACCACAGTTCAACATTACTTAATTCACATCATTAACAAGCCAAACATTTCTCCAGTTAGCACTCGTTTATTACTTTACTTCATAAGTGTATATAATGTAGGAAAATTTTGAGACATGATTTTTTTTTTTTTGCGTTAAAAGGTGAAGCATTACCACCTGGTCAGGACAGAAGATTAAACCTTCCAAGACCTTCTAAAGTTATACATCCGGCGTAAGTATAGGAAAGCTTACTATTTTTTTAATGACTTTTTAGATGAAACATCATTGAAGATGTGCTTTAAAAATCTACATCGTCATCTTCTTCTTCTTAGCTGGAATTTAGCTTGCTAAAAATAAAATCATATTTTATAGATAAAAATTCATTTAAAGCAATCCACAGAAAAGTAGTCAAAATATAAAATAAACTGTTACGGAGTTTTAAAAAATGTAAAACCCTTCATAAAAACATGTTTTTATTCTGTTGAGAGTTAAGAAAAATGAAAGAAATTGTCATGATTTGAAAATTATTTTTCTCGTTATCGTTTGTTTTTTTCGGATTTGTTTAATGTTTCTGTTTCTTTTACACGATTACTATAATTCATCTTACTACTTTTTTAATACTTTTTATGTTAAATATTTCTTTATCAGGTGAGTTTAGAATGACTTTTGATTTTCCAAATTTCAGGCCTGCCCCTGCCAGAGAGACAATCTGGCTGCGTCACGTTGAGCCTGCTGCTCCTCAGATGCCTCCAGAAGAGGAGGAGAGGCCCCCACAGAAACCTTCTTTTCACACTCACCTTCAAGACCTCCATCTTCAGGAAGGAGACCGAGCCAACTTCGATGCTCGACTACTTCCTGTTGGTGATCCCACGATGCAGGTTGAATGGTTTGTTAACGGAAAACCAGTGGAAGCTAGTAAGAAATTCCCATTTAATTAATTATAAAAAATTACGACCTTACTCACTTATATCTTATTTAATACGTTTGTAGAATGTTCGTAAAAAACATAAATCACAAGAAAATAAAACAAATCTTTGAAAATAAACTAACTCTTAATACAGTTAAAATTTCATTTTTTTCTACTTATAAAAATTAATTAAAGTTAAAGCAATATGACTTCGCCCCCCAGTGGCATAGCGGTATGTCTGCGGACTTACAACGCTAAAATCCGGGTTTCGATACCCGTGGTGGGCAGAGTACAGATAGCCCATTGTGTAGCTTTGTACTTAATTACAAACAAACAAATAATATGACTTCGCCCCCCAGTGGCACAGTGGTATGTCTGCGGATTTACAGCGCTAGAATCCGGGTTTCGATACCTGTGGTGGGCAGAGTACAGACAGCCCATTGTGTAGCTTTGTACTTAATTACAAACAAACAAATAATATGACTTCGCCCCCCAGTGGCAAAGCGGTATGTCTGCGGATTTACAACGCTAGAATCCGGGTTTCGATACCCGTGGTTGGCAGAGCACAGCTAGCCCATTGCGTAGCTTTGTACTTAATTACAAACAATCTCTGCCCGGCATGGCCAGGTGGATAAGGCGCTCGACTCACAATCTGAGGGTCGCGGGTTC